TTCCAAAGGGCCGGAGCTGCCACAGAGAAGGCCCTCCCCCGGGTCGTAGCCAGATGGCATTGGTTGGTGGATGGACCCCGGAGGAGGCTTACTCTGTGTGATCTAATGGGTCTTTGGGAGGTAATTGGCAGCAGGCGGTCTCTCAAGTACCCACCTTTATTGGTATCCCACCTTTATTACTTTTACAAATAACTCAAGGCAGTGAACATACCTAATCTCCTTTCTCCTCCTATTTTCCTCAGAACAACCACCCTGCAAGGTGGGTTGGGCTGAGAGAGAATGACTGGCTTAAAGTCACCCAGACATGCGTATCATGCCTAAGGTGGGATTTGAACTCACCGTCCCCCAATTTCTAGCCTGGTGTCTTAGCCATTCGATTAAACTGGCTCTGTTATGAAAGTTGAATATGGATTTGTGTGCCAGGGGACTACCTCAAAATCCAGTTTCAGTCATTGTATAGCCCTCGTTATTTTTTTAATGTTGAGACAAAATCTCTGTCAAGCGTGGAGGGGAAAAATTGTTGAGCAAAGGAATTGTGCCAAGGTTTCTGCTCAGTGGGAGTTGAATATTCTCTTCCCCATGGCAGGAAAAGTAGAAAAAGTTACCTTAAACAATGGCAACTTTTTATAATTCCGTTTTAGTTCACCTGATGGGTATGAATCTTTTGTTGCATAGATTTGCGGTGGTTTTAAATAATAATAATAAAGCGGACAGCCCCGAGCTGTGTTTGTCAACTCTAGTAAGTTTTAACATGTGTGGACTTCAGCTCCCAGAATTCCCCAGCAGAGGAATTCCCCTGGCTGGGGAATTCTGGAAATTGGAAGTCCACATATCTTCAAGCTACCGTGGTTGAGAAACATGAGCCCAGATGCAAATCTCAGGTGTAAATTCTCTCTCTCTTATTGCAGACGGTAAAAAGACCCAGAAAAATCCATCTGCCAGTTGCCAAATCCAGCCAGCCGAAAAGCCAGCCTCCCTTGACTTCTACTAAACATGTGACGGATGGGAGAAACGATGACTCGGATGAGGATTATGGGTACCAAGGCGGTGAGTCAGCCCCCTCAGGCAGAACCCCAGGGCAGAGCCGGCAGCAGACAGAAGCAGAACATAACCGCGGTTACGATGGAGACTCGTCCAGCGAGAGAAGTTCGGGACATTATCGTGAGGAGGACGATGATAGCGCCCACAGGCACCCCCTCAGGAGCCGGAGGCGGAGCCAAGAGGGGGGATACCGGAGGCGGAGCCAAGACAGCGGGTCTGATAGGGCCCTACTGGCCAATGGGCACCATCACAAAGGAAGCACCAGCGGGCTTGTCCTGATGTCCGGGTTTAAGAGACTGCCGAGGCAGGACGTGCCGATGAAACCCGTCCGCTCGGTTTTGGTGAAACGGAAGGAGAGTGAAGGTGAACGGCTAGCTTTCTTTTTTTCACCCATTTCTCCTGTTCTGCTCCTTCAAATTAAGGTTCAGGTAGTCCTCCGTTAACAACCATCCGTTTAGTGACCATTCAGAGTTGCAACGACACTGAAAGAAGTGACTGGTGACCACTGTTCACCCTTACAACCGTTGCAGCATTCCCATGGTCATGTGATCAGAATTCAAACGCTTGGCAACTGGCATGTACCGCATTTTTCAGAGTATAAGACACACCAAGATTTTGAAGAGGCAAATTTTAAAAAAAGTTTTTGCCCTCTGCAGACCTCCCAAAAACGGCCTGTTTTTTGCAAAAACGGGCCCTTTTTTTGTCAAAAAAGGCCATGCATAGCCTTTAGGAGGCTTATAGAGTGTTCCTGGGGACTGAAGGGGCAAAAGCAAGCAAAAAACAGTCTGTTTTTCGCTCATTTCTGCCCTCCCCGGCTCCCAGAAGCTCTCTGAAAGCCTCTTAAAGGCTATGCACGGCCATTTTGGTGGACGGGGTGGGGTTTCGGAAGGCCAAAAATGCTGTATTCCGTGTATAAGAAGCACCCAGATTTTCACCCTCTTTTTTGAGAGAAAAAGGTGTGTCTTGTACGCTGAAAAATACGGTACTTATGACAGTTGCAGGGTCATGTGATCAATTTTTGTGACCACCTGAAAAGCACTCAGTGAGGAAACCATTTAACAGCGATGTTACTAACTTAACAGCTGCAGTGATTCACTTAACAGCTGTGGCAGGAAAGGTCCTAACCTGGGGCAAAACTCACTTAATGATTGTCTTGCTTAGCAGTGGAAATTTTGGTTGTTAAGTGGAGGATCACCTGTATACTTCTGTATTTTTTTCTCTGCCACTTTCTCTGCCCAATGCAGATCTCAGTGTTTTTCGAATTTAGCAAGTTTAACATGGGAGGACTTCGATTCCCAGAATTCCCCAGCCAACATCACAGAATTCTGGGAGCTGAAGTCCACCCATCTCCATTCCCCACCATCCAGTCACAGTTGAAGAAGCTTCTTGGATGGGAAGTGAAACGTCTTCAAAGAAAAACCAGAAAGTCCAGTCACCTCTTGAAAAAAGCACCTTTGGGACATCCAGGACCTGGACGATTGAGAATCTCCATAGGCATACACCCAAATGCCGTTTCCCTGTTTCCATTTTAAAATTGCCTAGTTATAAAAAAAACACCGATCTTTCTGATCTTCCAAAATTCTTTTTTTTTTTCAAATATATTTTTATTCTTTTTAAACAAAACAACACATACAAAACAAAAGCAAGAAAAAAAACACAACTTTCCTCCATTTCATCAAGCATGTCGTTTGGTTACATCAATTCTTAAGATTAAGAATAACATCACTGGTTTTGCATTAAACATACCTGAATATTTCGCTGTCATTGAGCATTATGTGTTCAAATTACCATTAATATTCTTTCATTTGTAACAATCCTTATTTCCTTGAATTCATAATTATCTATCAAATAACAATGAGTCTTTAAAGTATTATAATATCACCTATCTCCAAGGAGAAAAAGCGGAGATTAGAACAAAGAATTCCCATTAATTTATAATATACGTTCATATTTTCAATTGACCATAATGTCACCAATCATCCAGAGTTCCAAAAATAGTTTTCCATTATTAATTATTAATCTATATAGTGGTTAAGTATTTCAACTCATATGTATATCAATTGTTCATTACATCATCATTGGTCCGTTTTCTAATATAAAATGGTCGCTACATGCATGATCTTCCAAAATTCTAATTTTTCACCTGAAAGTGACAGGCTTCTGCATTCGATGGAAACCTTTGTAAAGCTTTGTATAGCAATAGCAATAGCAGTAGACTTATATACTGCTTCATAGGGCTTTTAGCCCTCTCTAAGCGGTTTACAGAGAGTCAGCATATTGCCCCCAACAATCTGGGTCCTCATTTTACCCACCTCGGAAGGATGGAAGGCTGAGTCAACCCTGAGCCGGTGAGATTTGAACCGCTGAACTGCTGATCTAGCAGTAGCCTGCAGTGCTGCATTTAACCACTGCGCCACCTTGGCTCTTGAGCTGCAGTGGCACAGTTTAGGTTTAGGTTTATTGACTTATATGCCGCCCTTCTCCCAAAGGACTCAGGGCGGCATACAACATAAAAACACATATTACAATAGTTAAAAGAAAGATTAAATAGAATATCCAAAAAACTCAATAGACATTTACAATGAGATTTAGAAATTAAATTAAAAATAACAATTAAAATTAATAATTTATTTTATTCAGGCCAGGCCGGCTTGCTGGAAAAGCCAACTTTTTAGGATACAGTGGTTAGCGTGCAGTACTGCAGGCTACTTCTGCTGACTGCCAGCAGTTTGGCAGTTCAAATCTCACCAGGCTCAAGGTTGACTCAGCCTTCCATCCTTCCGAGGTGGGTAAAATGAGGACCCAGATTGTTGGGGGCAAGAGGCTGATGCTGTAAACTGCTTAGAGAGGGCTGTAAAAACACTGTGAAGAGGTATATAATTCTAAGTGCTATTTGCTAAAGTAAAAGTTAAATGATCACGATAAAGGACAAAAGTGAGTGTTTAAAAAATAAATAATTCTAAGGGACAACTGTCTGAAATATATAGTCCTCAACTTACAACCCTTCATTTAGCATCTGTTCAAAGTTACAACAATAATTTATGATTGGTCCTCCCAGTTAATAACTGTTGCAGAATCCCCACAGTCACGTGATCAAAATTTGGGCGCTTGGCAAGTGGCAAATATTTGCAATGGTTACGGCAACTCGGAGTCTAATGATTACCATTTGGAACTTCCCGACTGGCAAAATCAATGGAGGAAGTTGAATTTACTTAACAGCTGCATGATTCACTTAATAGCAGTGGTGAAATCTAATTTTCCCCCCACCAGTTCTGTGGATGTGGTTTGGTGGGAGGGGGTGTCATGTGACGGTGAGTGTGGCCAACTTTTTTTCATTTTTTAAAGCATTTTTTCCCTGCCGGTTCGGTTAAACCGGACCGAACCGGGAGGAGTTCACCCCTGCTTAACAGCCATGTCAAAAGAGGTCGTAAAATCGATACAACTTACTTAGCAACTCCCTTGCTTAACGACATAAATTCTGCTCCCAAAAGTGTTCCTAAGTCTAGGGAAACCTATAATAACCGTACTTCCCACTTAGGACTTTATGAATGAGGAAAATGTTCATTTTGCTAACTGACTCTTCTAAAAATTTTCCTTCCTGAAAACCCAAGAATACGGACTGAAGCTGGGTAGCCAGATTTTCATCAAGCACATCACCGAGACAGGATTGGCAGCCAAGGATAACTCCCTGCAGGAAGGGGACCTTATCCTTAAGGTGAGTTGGGAAAAGTTGCTATGATCACAATAGTTCCTGGTCTGGCTATGCCTGTTTATGTTGCTGTGATCTTTCCCGTTTTTGAGGATAGGTTCCTCTCATGTCACTGAGAAAGCAAATATGTCCCTAAAAAGTTATAAGGTGACATGATAGTGTTCCAATATCTCAGGGGCTGCCCCAAAGAAGAGAGGGAGCAAAGCTATTCTNAGTTCCAAAAATAGTTTTCCATTATTAATTATTAATCCATATAGTAGTTAAGTACTAAATAAGTATACATATGTGTACTTAAGTAGTTAAGTACACATAAATCATATGATTTGAAATAGCAAACCTAACCTCTTGATTGGCCCAAATGCCTGGGGGAACAGCCACCACATCACCAAAGTGAGCAGGACTGGAATTGGTCTTTTGGGATAATTTGCATGGGGCAAAAAGCATGCATAACACTTTTAAGTTAATGTGCCTGTTTTGCCCCTTATAGTAGCCCCCTCTAAAATCAGTCCTTTTTATTTGTTTATTTATAACCCTGCCTTTTTTATTTTTATGTACAGTATAACTCAATATCACATCCAGTTTCTATTTTCCCGACAACAACCCTGTGAGATGAGTTGGGTTGAGAGAAAGAGAGAATGGCTGGGCCAAAGTCACTCAGCTGGTTTCATGGTTAAGGCAGGACTTCAACCCAGTGTCTCTTGCTGTCTAGCCTGGTGCCTTAACTGCTAGATCAGAGGTGTCAAACTCCTGTCATCATGGCAGCATCATGTGATGTATCACAACTTTTTCTCCCTTTGCTAAACTGGGCGTGGCCATGGCCACTGCGTGACGCATGTGGCCTGCGGGCTGGGAGTTTGACACCCCTGCACTAGATCAAACTTTTTGCCTATGAATTTGGGACTGTGTGCTAGAGGACACCTGGGGAGCATAGCACATGTGCTGGGAAACTACCTGAGTAGCCACCTGTACTGGGGGTGGGTGGGTGTTGCTGCCAGTTTTACTACCCATTCACAATCCATGCACAATGTGTGTGCATGTGCGCTGTTCAATGTAAATTGTTTTTCGTGCATGCGCAGAACAGTTTTCAGTGAACTGCGCAAATGCAGTTACTAAAAACCAAAATGGTGGTGGCGAGGGAACTGGTTTGGGGGCGTGGCAGGCCTGGGTTGCTGCTGGTTCTGCAACCCAGGCCTGAATTCCACTGCCAGTTCAGCCGAATCGGGAGCAACCTGCCTCTGACCCATACAGCTGCCACAGCTGATTCTGCAGATCATATAATCCAAGCCTGCCTGCTACCTGCAGAAATCTGGGGTCTGACAGATTGGATGTCAACACACATCACCTCACATAGCTATACTTGCTGGGGAATTTCAGGCATTGTAATCCAGCAAAGGTTTCCTGGGCTGCTTACTTTCTGGTTAATGCTGTGTCAAGGTGGGTGTATGCACATATGCAGTCATATATGCTGGAGGGGGTGAGGGGAAGGGATACTGGAGGATTACTTCCCAGCTATTGGCTGAAACATGCTCCTTGCAGGGATCCCAGATGACTTGGCATTAGGCTTGGAACTGAGCCGGCGTGAGCAGCAAGCGCTACCAAACCACGGGCCAGCAGCATCTCCTCCAGTGACATCACCTCAACGCCCAGCACCCAAGCGCCCATCCCCGAGCTCCTCCCCAGTGATCCTGTACACAGACAGCGATGATGAGGACGAGGATCTTCAGCTTGCTATGGCCTATAGCCTATCTGAGATGGAGGCCAAGAGCCAACACAGAGCAGGTGCGAGAAGCCCCACGAAAAAGCAATCCAAAGGAAAGCCACACTTGCCACAAGGGAATCTTGTCATGGACAGCCAAGCGGGTGGCCCATCCAAAAACCCAGCAGCGTCCCAGGGAGGGGAGGGAAAGGGGAGGGGTAAAACCAGAGACCCTTCACCTAAGAAGAAGAAGGACACTCAGTGCAACCTCCTGTGAGCCCACCAAGACTGTGTTTCATTGGCTGGTACGTTCCGGACCTTGGCCAATGGAGGGTGGGACCTTGAGGATGGCTCTGATTGGTTACTAAGAGGATAGCCTGCAAGTCCATCCAGTCATTGAGCTGGTACCACCAAGTAAAGGGCAGGAGCAGATTCTGTAACTTGGTATGCGTAATTTGGCACGAAGGGGGTGGGTGGGATTGTCTAGGCATCTCCTGGGCTATAGAGCCCTGGTTCCTTGTACAAATTCAGGTTGCACCCTCTATTTTGCTGTTTTATTGCATGGCTTAACTGCATGGTCTGACTGTGTGGCCTGCTGTACCAGAGAGATTGTCCTGGGGAATTGTTATTGGCTGCTGCTCCTTGATTACCTTGATTAGTTGAGCCTTGGGTAATATGAGAAGAAAATGTGATATTTAAAACCCAGGGATTTAAAAAAATATTTGGTGGAAGTGACTCAGTTTGGGCCCGTCCTATATGAGGATGATTCTAGGGGTTGGGGCCTTTTACTACCAACACTGTGCCTTCCTTAGCTAATAACTGTCTGATTATCTTTGCACAAAATGCTTAACCAGATCAGTTAAGGACCTAGTGGCTGCAGTAGCATACAATAGACTCGATTAATTCTAATTGTGGGTTTTTTAAAGTGTGTTATGTGTGAGCCCAGCACATTTCACTAGCTCATTATGTGAATCCTAAAAATGGATTAAATTTCTCATCAAGTTAAGCATATTGTGCAGAGTTGTAATGTACAGTATAGTGGAGATTAAAAACTCAACAGGATTTTGCTTCAAAGACGGTCCAGGATGTTATGAAATCAGAGCAGCTGTTCTCTATGGACAGTTTTCAGTCTTCCAATAGCCCAGTTTGTGAATGTTTTGTCGTGAACGACCGAAAAGGTGGGGGGGAACCAAAGCAAGAAATTTGCCATGCAGATCCATTCGTTACTGGTATCTCCTATTGTGGGTCACAGTCCCATATTTTATCTGTACGGGGGGCAAGGAATCATAGATAATTACACTGCTTACACAACCCTTGTCCTCAAATTGTGGTCTTCAAATCAAATCACTAGTTGAAGAGGCTGTACTACATCTTTTTATTTATTGGCATGGCACTTTTTCCTAGACACCACTCACTCACTATAACTATTGCTTGTGGGTTTCCTTTCCCTGCCCCCTCATCCTCCGGTGTTCTTCTGCCTAAGGGTCAGGGTTGCGGGGGGTGAGGGCATGGGATCTGGTGGGTTTGCAGTCCTTTGCCTTTCTCTTTCCTTTTGTCTACCCTTGGTGGCAGGCCCTGGAAAAGGCTTCGGTGGATGCTTGATGTAGGAATGTAACTTGTTGGTGCCCTCTTTCTTTCTCTACTGCTGCTGCCGCTTGTCTGCTCACCTGCCCATCCCTCCCTTCCGTGCTTCCCATGCCACAGACCCTGAAGGACAGGCATATTCTGTCTGACACCCCTCCATGCTGCCTCCCTGCAGGTAACCCTCAAATGTTTATTTTAGCTGATCAGTTGAAACAGCATTCATCAGCAGGGCTGTGTATATTTCTAATACTCTTGGCTTTGACTATCCACAAAGGCCAAGATGATCCATTCCTCTCAAAACATTTAAAGAAAAATCCAAATTGCAGTACCTCTATCAGCTTTCCTTCCACTTTTGTTTTATTTACCTCCATTTATGATTTTAAAGTTTATTTTGAAAAATGCCTTGTAAAGGCAAGAACAAAGAACATTTACAACTATCTGTATTATTCTGGTTGCAGATACATGTATTTTCTTGGGGAAAATATAATATACACAACCCTGGTCTTTTTGATTGATGGGCCTCAGCCTGCCATTTAACTTGCTTGTTTCTGTGTAATTACCCTATGCTTGCGTTCCTATTTTCTTTGCTTTCCACCCTGACCAAGAGGCAAGAGATTGGGGGAGGATGACAGAGAAAGAAAAAAGTGTTCATGAGGGATCTATTGGCTGGGTTATCCTTTCCTATGTTAGGCCAATTCACAAAATCCAGACAGTATTATATGAAGGCAAGACTAGAATGTACGAGGGTAGCAAAGTGCAGGCAAAATAAATATTTCATTAAATGTTGCTGATACCATCCACGGATGCACAGAAAGTAAATCAGGATTTAGCAAGTGAAGACATTTGCTGTAAATTGGGGAAGATTTTTGACACTTCTTCCAAAATGTCAATAATGGCATTACTAAATTATATAGCCAAGATTGGGTGGGTGGGGAGGGAAGCTTGAGATGAATAGTGAGTAGGTGGTGTGTGTGTGTGCGCGCAAGTGTGCAGGCAAATTGTGAGCGCTATGCAAAGGCAGTAGATCAATATGGGTGAGGTGGAATGAATGTATTTCACTGGTACGCTCATTACAAGGCTCCTCTCCACAAAAGCTCTTATCTCTATTTTGCATCTAAATGTAAACTGCATCTCTAATTTTCTTCTTCATTTGGAGAAAGCCAATTTGCAGAATTTGGAGGCCTTAGTTTAGTTAGGTTAGTTTATTTGTCTTGTATGCTGCCCACTCCCGAAGGACTCTGGGCGGCTCACAGTAGACAAGGGAAGGGGGGATAAATAGACAAAGACAACACTTTAAAAAAAACACAACATTCACAGTTTCCGTGGGGCTGGATGTTTCACAAGCCCCCCGGC